CAGGGGCGGTGGAACCGGTTTGTACCCGGGTTATTGTAGGGGGCAGCGGGGCAGTAACCGGTAACGTTCTTATAAACCCGCCGCTTCCGAGGGGAGGCCTCCGGCTTCGAATCTTGAATGCTGCCGGGGCTGGCGGAGGTCTCGTCCTGCCGGCCGGCGGTGGTTTGCAGCGTTGGGGTGCAAATTGGGGTGGTCTCTGCCCGCACCCTTGGGGTTGTGGAGCCGGGGGGGGTCGGAGGGCCCCGGCCTCCTTCGGGGAGCCGGCAAAGTGCCAAGGGGCGAGGGTTTTAAGAGACAGAAACCTCTTGTTGTCCTCAGATGCATCACTGTAAGAGATACCGGTCCCCGGAGCAGGAGAGCTACCTGGGTCACAGGTGGAAGAGGAAGAGGTCTCGTAGCAGAGAGTACGAGGGGAGACTGCGGTACCCACCCCGGAGGGATCTCTCCAGGAGATCGCGATCGAGAAGGTGAGAGCGGGTTTGTGCAGAGCACTGGCAGGGGAGAGCGAGCGGGGACGCCTATCTCATAGACACTCGTCCTCGATTCTGATCATGTTTCAGAGCTGAGTGGTGGCAGCTTTCATTTCCTGACTGCGGATCAGCTTTAAACTTGTAAATCCCAGGGATGGAAGCAAAGGGCTTAATTGTGTGTGCCTTTCCTGATATATTTCTGCCTCTGTATCTAGCCAAAAGTTCTTCCCAAAGCGATGTCTTTAATATTAATGAGGGAGAACAGCCTGCTCTGGAATCATGTTTCCCAGTTCTAATGCTGCAGAGGCATTAAAGTCTTTCTCTCCCGACAACCCTTCTGAAATTATTACAAATCAGGTTTGAAGTAACAATACTCTTCCCTCACCTATGCTGTCAGAAAGGATCTGAGCATCGCTAACTGATCTCTCCTGCTTCGGCTCTGGATTTTACCTTTGATCCTCTCTTTGTTCAGCGTTTCCACAGGGACAATTAGGTACTGGAAGCGGGGTGGATAAGGCCTCTGATAACAGGAGCTGAGGCGAGGGTTCTGGAACAGAGGCGGGAGTGCTGACGGGGAGCCGTGTGCTGACACGGCGCGGTGTGCGACTGAAATAGGCTGGCGGTCCTCGCCGCTCGGTGGTACCGGAGCTGGTGCGGTTCCACTGGTTGAACAGGGCAGGTGCAGCCAGAAGGGAGCTGAGTTCATCCATAAATTCCTGAAATGTTCTACGGTTAATTTCTCTTCCAAGCCTGGCTTTTGTTTACTTGAAGGAAGCAGATTGTGAAATACAGCTGACGCACACAATGGGCTTTTCCATTCATTCATCTGATGGCTTAGGTAGGACAGGTTTGGATGAAAACAGGCCTTTGCTAGGTGAAAACCTTATTGCCCCTTTAGTCTCAGATGGTGAGCCTCTCGCAGGTCTGCTGGTCTCCTCTGTATTTTAGGTTGTTATTTCTGAATCCTCTGTATCTTAAAAGTATACCCTGAAGTTTCACAAAGGTGTGTTTGGAGTTGAGTATCGGTGTTGGAATGGAGCCGTTTCGGGGGGGGGTGGTGGTGTTTTTTGGGTAGTTCAGCAGTGACCTAGAGCCACTGCTGTCTTGGCAGGCAGTTTGAAATTTTAGTCTTGATCCAAGATGAGACGAACACACATACCTGCATCCCGTTAAGCTGTCAGCAAGAGAGCTAATTGTTGCCAAAGCAGAGAGGCACAAACAACAAAAGTTCTTGTTTCTGGATTGAAGCAGCTGCAGCGAGGTCTTGGTTGGAGAAGCCGTTGTTCTTGCTGTCAGCTAGGTACCTACCACAGCGTCGACCTGGCCAGGCGTCTGCCCAAACTACTGCTGTTTATCATTGGAAAAACAACACGCTGTTCTTATTTCTGAGTTGCACCATCTTCTACCTAAAACGTGGCTTCTCGCTCAGTGACGTGTGAAGCAAGGCTTGTAGCAGAAGCTGTTTTATTAGACCAGCGGCTCGGGTGGAGAAGACGGTCGTGCTTTTGGGGTACAAGCAGGCCACTGCTACGGGACACCATTTTTGCTGTCCAGTTTAAAAGAGGTACCGCAACAGTGCTGCCAAGGAAGCACGTGGGACCCGCAGAGCAAAAGGCAGGAGTTTCAGAATCGCAGCTCTGGCTTGAGGCACTTGCAGCTCGCAGATACCCTCTAATTGAGCACAGGGCGGGGAGACCTGCTCTCATCGTTAATGTGCACACACGCTACCTAAAACTGCGTGTGCGATGCCAGCTTGTAAATACTCGCACAGGGGAGCTTCGCCTGATGTCTCCTGGCCCTTCCCGATGCAGAGATGAGCTTGGCCGAAAGTTTCCCTTACATACTTGCAGCCCTCGGTTGTCACTAGAGGCGCGGGAGCTTGACTACTGCAGAGACCAAATTTTCCTTCTGGCTAACGATCTGTTGCGCTGGCGCGCATGCGTACACCGAAGGCTTGGTGTTTAGGGGACTGAAGTCCCCGCTGGGGTGGTGACTAGGGCACCGCTGCCGCCTTTGAATCTCGTTTGTTTAAGAACTAATGAGAGTCCTTCCTGGGGGAGGAGAAACAATCTTAGAAAAACACTTGCGTATGGCGGCAGAGGTGGCTCAGATGAGGTAGGCAGCTCAGATCGGGCTCTAAGTGGGTGGTTTCCCCCGGCTCCTTGAAATGTGGGAGTGCCACACCATTTTCTCTTGCAAACTTTCTCCTTTTTCTTTTCTGAGAAACTTGGCTGAGAAGCGGTCAGCGTTTGAGCCACAGTGGTTTGAAGCTTGGACGCTTGCCGTTGTTTCCCTGCCACCAGGGAGTGGGAGCAAGAGCACTTTGTTTCAGAAAAAAAAATCAGCGGGACTCTGCCTTTCATGCTTTTCCAGGCTTGTAAACGCATTCTTGTTTGTGCTACAGCCATGACAGGATGCCTTATCACAGGAGATACAGACGGGACAGCGACGCCTACAGATTTGAAGACCGAAGCCCGTCTTTTGGAGAGGACTATTACTCGACCCGCTCGCGAAACTGGCGGCGATCCAGAGGCAGAGAGCAGCACCGTCCAAAGAAGCATCAGCATCACTGCCGGAAACGCAGGACCAGGTCTTGTAGCAGTGCCTCCTCGGTGAGTAGCATCCAGAATGAGTTCAGGATTGTTCAGGGTTTTAACTGTTCTTACCTCCTTTCAGCTCTGAACACTCTGGGTGAGTACCTCTAATCCCATTTTTGTGTTTGTTTTCATTACGTGGAACGTATAGTTCAAAATCTGTGTCTTCTTAAGCGGGAAGCGTTTGTAGCGATTGGATTTTACTAGTCCAGCCCCTGTAGCCTTTATACGTGAGGAAACTAAGCTGTATTCTTTATGGCCGGGGAGGGGATCGGGGAAAGCTTCAAATGGCACACGCTGATGGGCTAACAAGGGCGAGCCTTGGCCGCAGGCCAGCCTGGCCGCTGGCGATCGGTCACTGTTCAGGTTTACACACGGCCAGGGCTTCGCTTCTGCATACTGCTGCTGCCTTGGGGGGGTTGGTATGCAGTGGTGGTACGGAGCGCTCCCGTGAAGGCACGTCGATTTGACTTGGTGCCAGGATCCTGTACCAGATGGGATCAATCAGCCTGGTTCTCCCGAGCTGTTAGCCCTGTGGTTATTAACCCCTGTCCCACGGTACTTAGAGAAAGGCTTCCACCTTCTGAGGATATGCGCCTGTCCTCTTTGTCTATTTCCACACGAATGTCCTTGGATTTCAGCTTCTTTGAAAACTTCCCCGTTTTCCACCCTGAAACGTAGTATTCCTTTCAAGGACTAACAGGGAATATTTGGAACTGGGTGGGGAGGCTGGTCCTGGGACCGGGAGTACCCTGGAAGTGTTGTGAGGTATCAGACCAAATGTCTCTGCTTCACTGCTTCTCTCCTGTAAGGAACGTTTCCATCTTTCACAAGTTAGTTGCTTTTAAATGTAATTACAACTAAATGACCGAGCCCTGATCCCTGCAGCTGTAGCAGATATCTGCATGGCTGAGAACTTCTGACAGTCTGTTGCTTTCCTCCTTTTATTTCCTTCCAGTTGACTTTTTCATTTTAGTTTTAGAAAGAGCCAGGGTTATGATGAAAACGCTCCAGTGCGGTTTGCGTGTGTGCGTGCGGTGATAACGGTGTGCAGGTTTGGGCTGGCGTGATCTAAATCCTTTGAAGTCTCACAGCTGTCTCAACTGTCCTCTCTACCTTCTCCTCCGTTTCAGCTGACCTTTTGGGCTTTGATGGTAGCTCATTTTTTTGGACTAGCCGGGGGGCGAGGGGCACAGAAGAGAAGCCTGATAGAAGCTCGGGCAAGGAAATGTAGAGCTTTGTATTAATTTCTTCGGCTGTAGAGATTGTAACTATTTTTAAGGCTGAATAGAAAAAGATCAGGAATTAGGGCAGCTTGCTTTGTGGACCCGGGTCCTTTTCAGGAATGTTCGGCTGGTTTTCCAGTAGAAGCTAGCAGTAGCAGGGGTGAATGTGACCTCATACCTGTAGTGGGTGCCTGAAGTGGAGTGAAATGCTCCTTGGGGATTAATTTAACTGTCCTGTTCCTAAAGTTCTCCGAGGCTTAAAATGGCATCCTAAGGCCGATGTGCAACACCAGGTCTGTTTGCAGCCAGTCGGGCATATGGATCTAGGATCAGTGTGGTAGCTGGCTCTGTCAAGAAGGGAAGGGCTGGTTCGTAGCCGGGGCAGGACACGGCTCTGGGTAGCTGGCGATCTATTAACCGAGGTACAAAAGAGCAGGCTGCACAAGAGGGAGAACTGCTACTCTGGCTTCTACTGGACAGCCTGTCCAAACTGGCAGCTTGTGTACCCTTCGTCACGTTTGCCAGCGGAGAAAATGACGTTCTTCTGGCAAAGCCCTCCTTCTTGTGCCTCTGGCAGCGTCCTCCAGTGCTGCAGAGGAAGCTGCTCCTCTGTGGGGAACGGTGGTGCCCAGCCAAGCCACCTTAACACTGGAGCTTCCCAGCTGCTGCTTCCCTTCAGAGAAGAGGGGGGCATTTTCCTGCCTAAGAGGCGGCGGCACCAGAGGCCGTAGCTAATGAGAGAGTTTTCTTTACATACCTGTAGCTGTTGATTACTTTTCTGTTTTGAAGTTAGTTTGTGTCTTGACGTGTCCCTTGCAATATCCCTATCGTTATATATGCTGTGTGCCTTATGAAATGCTGGGATCTGGAAAATCCAACCACCGACGCACCGTCATCTCCACCTTTGAATGACAACACAATCCTGCCACTCGGAACTGCCCGCTGTGCGCGCTTGGTCGTATGCCGTTTCGGGGGGCGGTGTGTACAGAGAAGCCAACAGAGCAGTAAGCGCAGCAGGAGCGTGGAAGATGACAAGGAAGGCCACCTGGTGTGCAGGATCGGCGATTGGCTTCAAGAGCGATGTACAGCCACCTTTCGTAAAACTTTACCTCTCTACTTTCTATCCCCATGTTAGACGAGATCTCTCGTACTGTACTGGAGGGGTCTCTAGTGTTTTATTGCTTATAAATGGACTGACCAGTAAATTGCCTGAAGCAGACAATAGACACTTGAGTTTTAAAGAGTGTAGCAGTGAGAGACATTTTATTGCTGTGAAATTGCAGGACCTCAGCTCTTACCAAGCCTCTGAAGTTCACGTCCACTCCTGTTTTCTCTCCTAGATGAAATTGTCGGCAGCCTTGGCGAAGGCACTTTTGGCAAAGTGGTGGAGTGTGTGGACCATGCCAGGTGGGCATCTTTCCCTTCCCGATAATTGTCTGTCCCTTGTGCATCAAGCCCAGATGCTCACAAGCGTAGCAGGGTTAACGCTGCCAGTTTTGCATGGGCCTGGACTTTGCTGGACCGAACTGTTGTTGTCACCTTCCACTTGTCACTACGGTAGAAATCGTTTCTTAGAGCAAGTGGAAAGGGGCCCGGCTCATACCTCACCCCCCCCGAGTTTGCAGACTGAGGTGTTAAGGGAAGCAGGGGAGTTCATTCAGTGGCTGAGGGCTTCGGCACAGGCTGTTCTACTGCCCTACTGCAAAAGCAGCGAACTCGGGCTGAGGGATGGGCCAGGCAGCTGGGGAAAGTGACCTCTTAATCTGCCAGAGTACTACTTTTTTTTTTTTAACCTCTCCTGTGATTACACTTGACCCCTGTCTCTTCCTGACCTTTTGTCTGGCTCTGAGCCGTGGGGTCAGCTTAGTATAGGAGCCGCTGGGCTCTCCTGCCTCCTCAGAAATCTCTCTGGCATGGCTGGAGAGGGGAGGTGGCTGCTGGAGGCACAGTGACCTTATGGGCTGCTGTGTCAGGAAATGGTGTGCTTGCAGAGCTGACTGCAGCTCTCTGGCGTGTTACCCAGCAATAGCCTTTCGCTTCAAATTTCCATGTGGGTACTCACCTACCCGCCAAGCAGCATAAATCTTTGGCAGACCTTTAGAACTTTATTGGGACCTAACAATGACTAAGCCTCTTAACACATGAAAACATGACTGGAGTGACTGGGATGTACCCCCTCTGTGGACTGAGGACGTGTGTACATAGGCTTTTTCTCTGACTCCATCCTTTTGTCTCTTCCCTTACAGAGGCAAATCTCAGGTGGCACTGAAAATCATAAAAAATGTTGGAAAGTACCGAGAAGCAGCCAGGCTGGAAATTAACGTCCTGAAAAAAATCAAAGAGAAGGACAAGGAGAACAAATTGTAAGTTCCTACGAGGCTCCCGGGTAGTCAATACCATGTCCTTACAGACAAGCAGTCTGGTTGCGTGACGTCCAAAGACGTCCAGGGCTGAGGACTGGAATAGCTGCTACTTGCCTCCTGTGCGGGGGAAAACCCGTCGCATTCCTCTGCGTTTTGGGAGCATCTGTCTCTAGTTCTACTGAACACTTGTTTACTTAAACTCTTTAACGACTGACATGCCAGGTCATAGCGAGAAAAAATTAGCCAGAACTTCTTCTCTAACAGCCACCTGCTGCCTTGTCCCACTTGAATTGGAGATCTCTGTCTAAAGGTGGTTGAGCAAAGCGGGGAGGGGGTGTCTCTCCGGTGTACCCAGAGGGATTACTGTGCAGCTGAGTCAGCTGGCTCAGAGCTTTTGCTCACCAACCACTTCTGAAGTAGCCAGCAACTGGGAGAACGACTGTTCTGTCGAGTCCCTGAATGATGGTTAATCCTCGTGTCTTTCTCTCTGCACAGCTTGTGTGTCCTGATGTCAGACTGGTTCAACTTCCATGGCCACATGTGCATTGCCTTTGAGCTTCTGGGCAAGAACACTTTTGAGTTCCTGAAGGAGAACAACTTCCAGCCATACCCTCTCCCTCAGATCCGGCACATGGCCTACCAGCTCTGCCATGCCTTGAGATGTAAGTCACCCAGGGCCAGCCTGTGGGCTTCCCAGAAGCTGTTTGTTCTTCAGCACCTGCTCTTTTTTTTTTATTTTTAACCCAAGACAGTGTCTGGATATTCTAGCTATGTTTTCCTCCTTTTCTGAAACTTATATAAAGATAAGAGATGCTGATTTCTGTGGAGGATAGAGCAGTAGCCTTTAGACTTGCTTCCTTTTCCTTCTGAAAGGAATGGGAGAGAGACTTGTAAGCTCTTCCATGCAAAAGGTGCCTTCTCTGTGTCAGAAATACCTCGTCAGGTAGCACTAGGTCAGGATGCGTCCCCAGAATGGGTTGGGAGGGAGCTGAGAAGGACTTGGCTTGGCTCTTTGGTGGACAGAGTTGTATGGGTGCTTCACTGTGCAGTTCTCAGATGTATTTTTTTTTTCTCTCTCCACCTGTGCAGTTTTACACGACAACCAGCTGACTCACACTGACCTCAAGCCAGAAAACATCTTGTTTGTCAACTCTGATTTTGACACTCTGTACAACGAGAAAAAGGTGGGTTATGTCCAAAAGAGAAGTGAATACATCAGGAATAGCCTGCCTTTCCCTCCCTCTAGAAATTGGATCTTCCCTGTTCCATACATGCCCCACAGGGCCTTAGGAGTCTATTTAGTGAGAACAAACTGGAAGCCAGGCCTCGTCTTTCTCCTTGTCTTCTACAAGTCTTAAGGCTGCTTCAGCGGCTCTGGTCCATGAAATGGAGCGTTCAGTGGCTTTCCTTAACACTGATGTGGGATGTAAAGAGCTCAGAGCTTCACAGTTGTAATCCTTCTGATCAATGCAGGCGTGGCAGTTCTGGGGTCAGAGGGCTCCTCTCAAAGCCTAGCTTAATCCTGAACCAGCTATTAGAAGTGCTGAGGACTTCTTGTTTGCTTGCAGAGCTGTGAGGAGAAATCCATTCGGAACACAAGCATCCGTGTGGCAGACTTTGGAAGCGCCACCTTTGATCACGAGCACCACACCACTATCGTGGCCACCCGGCACTACCGTCCACCAGAAGTGATTCTGGGTGAGTACTGCTGGGGTTTCAGGAGTCTGGGACGGGTGGAGGAGAACAGTTCTCCCAGGGGTGCTGTAGGATGATGCTGTCTAGAGGAAAACCAACTCAAGAGCACTCCAGTTCTTGGGGACAACCCATTCCATGCATTGCTGCAACACCATCTCAGTGGTCCCAAGGTCCTGATTGCATGGAAGGTAATAATGGATAGCGCAGGCCCTTCACACGGAGTGCAGAGAGCTGAGAAAAGCCTGTGAGACTTGGGAAGCGCTCAAATTGGCTCCAGGGGAAGGCAGAGTCAGCATAAGCTGAAACAGAACCATCTGGAGGGATGTGACAGTCCTTGTGCCACTGTGCAGCACCGGGAAGTGCACAGATAGATAACTTCTAGGTCTGTCTTTGTGTAATCTCTGCAGTTTCAACAAGGAACTAGTAGAAGTCTGGTGGGACTTGTTGGGAGCGCTAAGTTATCATCTCGATTCTCTTTGCAGAGCTGGGTTGGGCACAGCCATGCGATGTCTGGAGTACTGGCTGCATTCTGTTTGAGTATTACCGCGGCTTCACGCTCTTCATTGTACCCTAAGAATCCTTAATGTGAAGGGAAGGGAAACGCAGATTGGGCACTAAAAATCAGGAGCTGAGTTTGAAAATAAGCCCAGGAAAACGCACGGTTTGAGGACTTGTGCCTTGCTGGAAGGACAAGGTTCAGATCACTTCTGGTTTCTTTACTGTACCTGTAAAGAACAGAAAAATCAAGAGAGCAAGTAGAGGTGGACAGGAGCTGTATCATTCCTGATGGAGGCTTGTCTCTTCTTCCCCTGTACAGGGGACAGACCTTTTGTCATCAGATCTCCAAGTTCTGAATTAATGCACCATTGCTCTTTTCCTTTGCAGACGCATGAGAATCGTGAGCATCTTGTCATGATGGAAAAAATCCTCGGGCCAATTCCATCTCACATGATCCACAAAACTCGGTAAGAACCTCTTCCTGAACTTGGGACAGTCCAGTCAACTGTTTGTGGCTGATTACTCGGGATACCAATTCTCTCTCCTCACACCGGGTCTCAGCTGTGTGGGTATAACCGTGGGAGATGTGCTGGAAGTACGTCCCACGAGCAGCCTTACTGAACACCACCTTTCCTTTGCAGGAAGCAAAAATATTTCCACAATGGAAACCTGGTATGGGATGAGAACACGTCCGATGGGCGATACGTCCAAGAGAACTGCAAGCCCCTGCGGGTAGGTGCTGCTCTGCAGCTGGTGGAGGGCTGGCTGCGCTGCGAGGCTGAACTGCTGTGCCGTTCCCTTCCCCAGATCAGCGGTGCGCGGCTTAGGGATGGGAATTTCCCCTTAGTAACTGGCTTTTACAGAGCCCCAGACTCTCATCTGCAGTAACAGAAGTTTATTGGTCTGGCTGAAGCAGGACAGGTACTAGGGAACTGGAGGGATGCTGTACTTCAGGATGGGAGACAGCTGTTGCCTCACTGCACATCACAAAACTGGGGCCTAGGGTTCAGTCCCTGTCCTACCGGAGTGCTACACCTCCCTCTCTCCCCCTGTCCTTCCCTTTCAGACCTACATGCTGCACGACTCGCTGGAGCACGCACAGCTCTTTGACTTGATGAGGAGGATGTTAGAATTTGACCCTTCCCGGAGGATCACGTTCTCGGAAGCCCTCCTGCATCCCTTCTTTGCTGGCCTCTCTGCGGAGGAAAGGATGCTGTGCGGTCGAGGCGCCAGCCGGGACCTGAGCAGATGACAGCCGGGGAGGGTGTGATGCCTGCTGGATTTGTACATACGGGATCGGTCTAGCCTCTGCAGTTCAGCCCCGCTCGCGCTCTCCTCTCAGAATTCAGAGGGGCTGGGGCACTGTGACAAGAACCCTGGGTAGGGCAGGGGAAGAAAAGCTACATTGGAAAGCACAGATTTGTCTATTTATATGTTGTAAAGTTAAAATAAAGTGTTTCTTATTGTTTGATACTTCCCTTGTAGGCAGGTGTAGGGTCCTCTTACTCCCAGCTTTGCCTTTTCTGCAAAGGAAGATGGAGATGTTGAAAAAATTAACTGGAAACTAAGCAGCAAGCAGGAATCTCTGCATCACTGAAGGGCAAAAAGTCAGGGTGAGTGCTCCTCTGAATGGCGCAGAGCAGCAGGAAGGCTTCCTCCGGCTGTGGTGTCAGGCTCTAGAGTGACAGCAGGCAAATAAATAGCTGCACACGAATAGCACACGTGAATAGTTGCACTTTATTTCAGGGCATCCCCCAGTAGCGGCAGGAATTAGTCATTACAAACATTAGGTCACAAATGGAATACCAAGCAGTGACATAGTGCAGTGATCTTCACATGTTAGTGACCAGAGCAGCACTCACGGGCAGCTCCTATGATGGTGGTTAAGGTTGTGGGTAGAAACTATCTCAAACACAGATAAAAAAAGTGTTCCATTCTTTGAATTAACTCTGGCAGCGTGGGGCAAGGGGGAGAAGGGACCCAGACCCCTTTCTGGGTCTCTTGAGTGCTCCAGAAGAGCTCACAGCTGCACAGAAGATGCATTTCATGCGGGTGAGGCCTGTACCTCCTCAAGTAAGCCTTTGTATCCGAGGGAAAGTATGGCCAGATACCCAAATCTATTCTCATCTCCAGAAAGTGAGCACGCTGTAGAGTTGAACTGCGCCAAATGCAGCCCAAAGTTGCCTGCTGTCCCCTAAACACTCTGCACGGGCAGGGACTGGGAATCCCTTTCCTTGCATGAGGGTTTGTACCCTCCTCTTGTGCAACACTGCTCGCTTTTTTTTTTTTTTTTTTTTTGCTTGAACATGGGGAACGCTATTGCTGCACGGCTGGCAATGCACGGGGCCTTAGACCTTCCTGGAGCTATGCAGCAGCGAGTACAGACCTGATCCCAGCTGCCATCCCTGCAAAAACAGCTTTACCTGGTTCAGTGCCCCTCTGGGCACCTAACTTCAGCCAGTGGCACAGCAGCGCAGAGGCAGAAAAGGACCCTGTGACGAAGCCTTGAATATTTTTACACCGTTACTGCTCGGTGCGTACAATCTACAGTTTAATAGCCAAACCCAGAAGAGGCGAGAAAAGCCTGCAGCCTGGTTCAAGGAAAGCAGAAATTGAAACAGCAGGTTCTCTTATCGAGTGTCTTGAGCAAGGGAAGTGAAAACAAGGGGGCTGAAGCTAACACTGTGCTACAGCAATGACCAGGGGACGGTCATCCACCTTTTTAACCCAGCCCCTGCTCCTCTGCCTGGCTAAAGGTTAGATGAAGCTGAGACAGCCAAAGAAACAAAAAAGGCAGAGGGAAGCTTTGCATTTGTATTTTAAATAACCAACCACGTTGCTCTCCCTTCCCAGTGCGGCCGAGTCAGAACCACAGCTTGTTAAATGCCACTACCGTTCCAGCTGAAACGTGGTTCACCTGAGGAAGGGGTGCTTCGGCTTTGCCCTTCCTAGGGGAGAGGAACCGCTCGAGGGCAGAGCTACACCCTGTCACAGCACTGGCAAGTCACCGAGCCTCCCCGTGCGAGCGCTAAGGCCACTCAGCGTAAGCCAGCAACGTGGTTCCGTCATCCAGCCCTCAGCGGGGAAAGCAGCTCGGGGGTCCAGACACAGAGAGGGGCAGAGCCCTTCGTCCTGCTGAGGTAGATACGGCAAGGTGCGGGCGGTTTGGCAGGGGAAGTGACCACCGGCAGCTGCGGGGGCGAGCCCAGTGCTCACCAGCCTCCTGTCCTTCGGGGCTGGGTCCTTCCCCCACCACTCTGCACTTCCAGGCAATATTAATTACTCAATTACATCTTTTCAATCGGGGAAGTCTCTTCCTTTCTCCTTAGACACACTTGTCTTTCATCTGCTTAGAACAAAAAGGCCAAGTGCCTGATCTGTAAATCCTCACCACCCAGAGCACAGGTGGGTTAACAGGTTTGCTACCTGCTTAGCACAGCACGGGGACAGAGCAGCTCCAGCAGTAGGTGACTATTTCCACACATCCCTGCACTTCGGCCTCAGAAGGGATCCAGCTCCCCTGGAGAAAAGGCACCATTTGAAGCTCTGAAGCTCTCCCAGCTGCCAGAACAGGGTCTGTGCAAGGTTTAGGTACCTGCAGGAGCTCTGGGGACAGGTAAGGTGCCGGAAGAGCAGCAGAGCTTCAAGCACTGCCCACGCTCGCGGCATCAGGAGCAAGCAGGGAGCTGAGCATCTCTTTGCGAGAACAGGGCCCTGCCTCGCATCTGCCCAGCTCCTCTGAAGGAACGGCTCGCCCTTACAGTGCCTCCTGCATCGTGCCAGGTTCAGCGCTTCCCGGGTCAGCTACCGGGCACAAAGCCTTCAGAGAGCACGCACGCAGCCAGCACGACGGATTCCCAAAGCCAGCTAGCTGATGGTTTCTCAGCTTGTCCCTGCTCTAGGCAGTGCACCACGGCGCCGTGAGGCCAACAAAATGAAGGCAGGAACAGAAAACCCAACGCTTCCTGGCAGCACGTCGGAAGCAAGTGCAGCACAGGAGCAGTTGGCAGAGCAACGCGGGGCATTCAGATGAGAACCTCCTGCCGTACCCCTCCAGGAGGGCAGCAGCTCTCACCACGCCGTCTCCTGCAGGCGAACAGGACCGTCTAAGCTGAGGACCCAAGTCCTTCCTCAAGCTGGTTCCCAGCACACGGGCGCACACAGACACAAGCCCACCCTATGTGCGGGCTTCGAGCCCGAAGGGAACGAACGGATCCATGACCTACTTCCCAAACCACACTGAGTGTAGGAGGGATACTGGAAGCACTGGGGGAACTCACCCAAACATCAACTGCACCATACACCACGCAACAAACTCAAGAGTGACACTGCCCTGCTTCACTATCCTTTCCCTGATTCAGCCACTCACTGTGCCAAAAAGAAAGAAAAGAAAAGAACAACTATCCTGGAAAAGTTCTTTTCCAAAACACGCCTCGCTCCCATAGACCTGGGCTTCACCCACTAAGCAAACAAACAAAAAGCCAACAAAGTATATAAGCAAGTAAGGCCTAGCTGAGGGCATCGGTGTTCCCAGAGCATGTGCAACCTGACAGCTTCTGGTTCTTGACACAAGCTTTCCGAAGAGGGAACGCTCTCCTTGAGAGGCTGGAGGGTCCAGGAGGGAGAGCAAGCTACAACTGCCTTCAGGAACATAAAATAGGGGAGAGGGGAGTCGAACAGAACAACGGAACGAAACCAAACCCTCCCTCCCGGTACGACTGCAACAGAAGGTATTTCTACACAATCAAGGGGTGCTGTTCCCACCAGGGCGCCCTTGCTGGGTCTATCCACCCAGAAGGACCGAGAAACACATCTCAAATCTCCAAAGCACTCATCACTTGTACCACCTCCACGTACACCTCCTCACTAAACAGCCTCCCGGCTGGGCCTGGGCAGCAGCGGCCACCTTTGCCGGGGACAGACACCATCTTCCTGCATGTTCCTTCATACAATGGCACAAGAGAATGAAAACAGCTTTGCAGGAACATTCGCTTCCTTCTTTTTTTGTTTCATTTTATGATTATTCTTTTTTTTTTTTTTAAATACACAATGTTTCTTCTGGAAGGAAAACTCTCCAGAACTTCACATCCTTAAGGCGTCACGAGTTTACTAGTCAGGATCCACTGGACAGCTTATTTGACAGACCTCCTCTCTTCTCTCCCTTCAGAACTGTGTGGCTGGATGGGCTCTAAGTGGAGTGCAGGGGGATGACAAATTTGCAGCCGAAGGGCGAGTGGTAGTTTATTCCCACTTCTTGAAAGACCTTCTGGGGAATGCCAATGTCACAGAGGTACACACGCCCTGCCCTCTCGCCCAGGGGCAGGGGCAGGCCCAAGGCCAGCGACCACTTGGCATCGATGCCCTGCTCCATTTCATTTATCGGAGGGTCTATGCTGAGGACGGGTGCCCGGTTCTGGTTGGCCCAGTCCACAACTGCTTTGTACCAAGGCTGATCTCTCAAAAAGGCATTTTCATGACAATCCAGGCAGTTGATCACTAGGTCAACAGGGGTATCTGGGAGATCTGAAAGAAACACAAACACCATTGAGTGCTGAGGACCAACCTGAAACCACAAATAAAGGCTCAGTGCCTTCCCTCCTTGCACTGCCAGCAGATTTTTAATTTTTCCCTCCAGCACCCACAGTCTCACCGCATACAGTCTGGCCTTACCTGTTGTTACTGCCATCCTTCTGCAAAAGACACTGACACTGATATCTGAAAGCTCTTCAGCACTCTGGAGAACATTCACAGACTCTCAGGTACAAAATCTCATCAAGTGGTCAGCCCCTGAGCAGCCCCAGCTGCTCCCACTGAGCTGGCTCACCAGTCCAGGCAGCCCAGAAAAGCAGTGCTGTTCTCTCTCCATTATAAAAGGACCCTTTTAAATTCCACAAACTGAAAAAACAGCCTATTTTTACAGAATGCTCTGACTACCTCTGCCATGGAAAGGCAGCTTGTGTGCTGCACTGCTGCCTGCCCCACTGAGCTCCATCGGTCTCACTGCACTCACCTGCTCTGTACCGCATCTGCTGCATTCCTCTTACCTGACGGACCATGAAGTCCTGGTGCAAAATCTTTTATAATCTTTTATAACAGGCAACTAGTTCAGCCAGCGCAGCACAGCCCCCCACCCTGCCACAACACAAAACATTGTGCAGAGCCCTAATTCCCAGGTTTGTTTCTCCCCAGAAGTTTAAATGGAACAGGTTTGAAAATACTGCTGGTGAGATGACGAACAGAAGCCAGCTCTCT